TGGTGATTCTAATGATGTCTTTGTGACTTTGCATTTAAAATTCAGTTTGAAATTATTATTATTATTATTATTATTATTATTATATAAGAGAAGAGAAGCCAGCATACCGTATCCTAATGGGGAAACTTTACTGGAAAGCCATGTAAAATGTATCTATGTTTCAGACACACGAATATCCCGTACTGCTTGCCACCTTGATAAAGTGGACCTTCATGTCTCCAAAACATTGGTACATTTGACATGGCTTTCAGTAAAATTCTCAATGCGATATGGTGTACTGGCTTCTCTTTACATTGGATGTAGGCGGCACCACCGTTAGCCGAGCACCCATCATATTATTCGCAATAAGGAGTCAGTGCGGCATGGATAGTTGTTATGAAGTTATTATAGAACTGAAATTTAAAGTGTCAGTCCACTCCAAAGTGTTTAGATTTTGCAAGATACTGGAGAGTTAAATCACTTAAGAGTTTCTTGCTTCACTTGATCTGTGAAGAACTTTCCAGAGTCCCCATGTCTGCACACCTTCTAAGATGATTACGTTAGATCAAAATCTCTAGTTGAATTCGTAATTTATTGTTTGAACTATGCAACATAGGTCTTGAAAGTGTGTTTGTAGGCACTTTGTGTGCTGATTACAGCAGCAAATAACAAATAGTAGTAATTGTCAGTGCATATCTTCTGTCTGGTTTAGGGATAAGCAAAAGTGAGAGGTTTTGCCTTGCCTAAGTTTTGTCGAAAGCTCGAGATGTTTCATCAAAATTCATTTCCTTGGCAAAATGCATGGAATGTAGGAAAAATTAAAGCGTATCTAAATCCAAATACAAAAATGTAATATATTGCTGGTTACGAGTCTTTTTTTCAGGCTTTTTCCCCTTTACTTTCACTTGTTAATCCGGTGAATAATATGCTTCACCTTGCCCCTTTGTGTCTACACTCATTTCTCCACTGTACCTATAGAGGGAGTTGTGTTTGTCACACAGACTGGATTTTAAACATGTCTGCCTGTGTTCATCTCCATTACATGGTGAATGTTTATGGCAATGTAGTTTACACAGAAAAGATAAAGATGGCTGTGCTTTCTGTGCTGTGCCTGAGGACAGGACCGCATGGTCTCGAAACGTCGCTAAGGAGATGTGTGTTATCTCAGTCAATAAACAGCATTGGCTTTAATATCATGGAGTGTGAGTGACTACTTTTATCTATCTACATTTTTTTTTAAACTTTTATAAATAATAAATTATTTTATTTGTATTAAAACTATACGTCTTCTGTAAGAAAAGTATTTATTTCCAGGTGCACATCACTAGGTGCGACCTTGGCAGCTGGCATGGCTAACACAGGCTGATTTTGACTAACTGTCAGCAAAGTAAAAAAGCCATACTTTTGCTGTACCTAGTCAGGATTTGTCCCCTTAGCACTGTCCTTAGTCCCACCAGGTCGTCTATCTAGACTGCAACTTTCTTTTAGACACTCCCCCAAGTGACAATGCCTGGACCTGCTCATAGATCTGTCAGGTAAAGGGCACTGTGAAAGTCACCATCTAGATTTAGCTAGGCAAATAAGTAAGAGCCTTCCATTGGATAAGTGTTATGATCTGGCGTTGCTTCAGTTGGGCAGGTCAAGGTTCAGCCACATTATGTCCCAAAAAATGAGGTCAGCTTCCTACCTAAATATACTGACCCCGATGGCATGGGCATATTCTAGTATGACAATGCCAGGATTCATCTGGCTCAAATTGTTAAAGAGTGGTTCAGGGAGCATGAGACATAATTTTCACACATGGATTGACCACAACAGAGTCCAGACCTTAACCCCATTGAGAATCTTTGGGATATGCTGGAGAAGACTTTATGCAGTGATCCAGCTACCCCATCGTCATTACAATATCTTGGTGAAAAATAAATGCAGCTCTGGATGGAAATAAATGTTGTGACATTGCATAAGCTTATAGAAAAAATGCTGTGGGGAATGCGTGCCATAATCAAAGCTAAAGACTGACCCGGAGAGCCTGAGTGGAGGGGCTACATGACTAGGGGGAGGAATAGTCCCGGGAGAAAGAGTTAAAAAATAAAATGGGAATAGCTGCTTCTACCTGATTGGACGTGGGAGTCAGGTGTCCGGGAGGAGCCACATGGGAAGGATCTGCAAGGGCTGAGAGACGTCCTTTTCTGGAAATCGACGAACGAAGCAGGTTGTCCCACCCTCCCTCCCTAAATTTTGTAGTATGGGGGTTGTGGGGTTCTTTTATCATGGCAGCTTGGTGGGTTTGGGGGTCTTTGGGGGTCTACAAAAATCGGAGTGGATTAGAAAATGGGGGGGCCATCAGCTGGTATGGGTGCTTCCCCCTGTTGGTGTCCGGAATTGTAAGGGTTGGGGCCTGGCCACTTGGGAACCTGGAAGTAGTAAGTGTCCTCGAGCTGGTTGTGGTGTGCCTGGGGACATGGGTGGAGTCTTAGGAGAGACCTTTTTGGGCTGTTGGGCACCCAAAGACCCCTTCTTAGGTCAACAATTGTTTACAGTATTATTTGTGTATATTATTTGGTTTATTACTTTTGGTTATTGTTAAAGTTGTTTGGTTTAATAAAAGGGCTGCTGTGGCCATTAAAATCCATGTCGCGCTGTCCGTGTGTTTATTGGGGTTTTAATGGAGGGACGAAAATTGATGAATCCATCTGTCAAGGTGGTCCAACAAAATATTAGAGTGTGAGGCTTTTTTTGGCCAGGCAGTGTAAATAGAGAGCGATGTTTCTTTGGTTAGTTTTTATTACCTAGTTTACATAGCTCTAGTTACCTGTCAAGGACGGGGCTCACATCCTGTTAGCCTTTACATAGACATTCATACATTATAACAAAATAAAGGAATGAAACTTCTGGAGGCTGCAGAAAAAAAATGCTGTCTATGGAGAGAAGTGTGTCACATGGAGCCTTGGTTCTCAACTGGTGGGTAGTGACCCAGAAGTGGGTCGCGACCCCTTGTTCAGTGGGTCCCTGCATGCCTTCCATTTTTGTAGGTGAGAGGCTCCACAGCCTCCCCCTAGCGCAGGACTGTCAAGAAGCCATTCAAAATATGCTGCCCGGAGCTGTGTGTCAGCTTATGGTGGGCTAGGTTGGGGCTATGGCCGCAAGGGAGCTCCATCCATACATGCATTGCTTACAGCTTCCTCACGTGTCTGTAGAGGTGCCTGGACCTGAGTAACATCACATTCTGGCTCCTGGCACCTCTACAGGGCATGCAAGGGAGCAGTACAAGCAATGCACATATGGATGAAGCTCTGTCACAGCACAGCAGCCCACACTGGACCTCAGGCTGAGGATTCACTCCAGTTCTCGTAAGGTAGGGAGAATGGATGGACCTTAAAAAATAAAATAACATTTTAAAGTAAAAAATGTTTTTGAGTGTGTGTGAGAGCCCGTTCACACTAGTACAGTGCCTTAATCACACAGTCCTTGTACTACGCAATCGCACCAACCGTGCATTCTGGTGTGGGAGGTGTGTTGCATTGCCATTCATTTGAATAGTACCCCAAACTCACCTCCAACCCACAGTTTGTACCCCCGCTCTGGAACGCACGATACCCTAATGCCGTCCGTTCCATTGCAGTGCGACTTGGGTCGCGACTTAATGACCAAGAACAAATGTGGGTCCTGAGGTTACACAGGTTGAGAACCAATGACCTAGACCATAGCAGTGAGCTGTTTTAGTATCAGACAACACAGGCCTATTAATGCTTACTTTCTTTTTCTTTCAAACCACTTCACAGTCAATATATTATGCCATTTTCTGTTTCTTCCATGTTTTTTTACATTCTTTTTTTTTTTTGCTTCTGTCACTGTGCTCATTTGCAGACAAAATCACAAATGTAATTTATTCAATTAGTCTGTCCAAATGTCATTAATGCTTCATAATACTCTGCAAAATACATGTATTACCATCTGAGAGAAAAAACCTTATTGTAGTGTATTTTTTCAAGCCAAACTCTACTAACATGACTTTGTAGAAGCCTAATGCACATAATGTGTAAATATTTGCAATAACTAATTTTTACTTCATAACAACACTGGACAAATTATGCAAGTAGTGAATTTCCTTGATGCATACAGTACTCCATGTCCTGTGTCTTCACAATGTATGCACCATTGTAGAGTAGTTCAAGTAAATGTAAACCAATCATTAAAATCTCATATGAGGTATACCATGTGAATGTAATTTCAAAAGTGATTTGAATGTTTTTAACTTGACGTTTTTTTTTAAATAATTCCAGGTGATCCTGCTAACTTTTATTTCACAGAGTGATAGTGCTCTGTCCCTGTCTCAAATGAATTCCTGTGTTGTCACCCTATCACAGGATAATAGGAGATCAGTCACCTGCATTCAGTTGTTCAAGATGCAAACATAATCTTGTTTTTTGTAAATGCGTCACATCACTGTGTCACCTTGAGGAAGGGACCTGAGTTACCCCGAAGCATTGGCATCTTGACCTATGTGATATATTTACAATAAATACATCACAAATAGATCTAACACAGTGCCTTCCATTGATGTCACTACTAGCACCACTCCACTTACTTTGGGCACAGTGCTTTATGGTGTTCAGCTGGCGTCTACATCGAGTCACCCTATCACATACACCTCGAAAAGAGACTAAGACGGGACATGCCAATGCACATTGCACAGGCATGTTCCACTGTTGTCACTATAAAGAAGCCTGCTTTGTCTTTGATAGAGTGCATGCATGTTGACAGGAAGCAGCTGCAAAGAGACAGGAGGACATCAACAGCAAATATCAAAATGGATTAAAAAAAGTTTAAAAAATAATTTCTTTTAAAAACAAAAGTGTGCATCACTTTAATAATCTACATGTCATCATGTTAGGGTTTAGATCTACTTTAAAGAATATTAAAACAATTCATACAAATATAAAATATTTTGAAGAGCTTATAACTGGATCTGCAAATACAGATTTGTGAGAAAAATTAATATATTATCTTTTATTTTACAGCTGCGCAAATCCGTTTTTAGTATCAGAGCCAGAAACCTCCTGGAAAAAGAAACAGCAGTAAATAAAATACTCAGGTAAAAATGGTTTAGTGATAACAGAGGAATGCTGGCATGAGATATTTCATATTTCTGTACATTAAGGAATTGTCATCCCTCTGAGACACAATAAAATTGTCAAGTGTTCACGTTATTACTGTGATATCTGCAATGACTGTGTTTCTTCTGCTGGTGTCATTCTTCCACTGATCTTATCTGGCAGTATTTGCAGTGGTCTCTGTGCTGTAGTTTGGCCCCTGCAATATTCATCAACTGCAGTTGAATATTTGTGGAGGGGGTGCTTTATAACTCAACCTCTTCACCATCAATTGGCCTCTGGATTTTGTAAGGATTGCTTTCAAGGAATGTGGAGAACAGGTTCATAAATATTAGGAAACATTAAATTAAATAGAAAGGTTAATTGTCACAAAGTGTAAGTGATATTGTACAGCAAACCTTACCACGTTAATTATTAGAGTTAACAGAATATTAGCGTAGATGCTAGATTTGTGGCACAACAGAGCATGCACAAGGTAAAACTCACAAAAAGCTGAAGCACCTTGCTGAGAAAAATGGGTTAAAAAAGCCTTCCAGTAGGCAGTTATTGATCACAATGAAGCCAGGAGAGAGGCATCTGTATTAGTATGAGACATCCTTAGAATCACCACACTGAAGGCTGAGATGAAGGCTGAGACTACAAGAGAGATGTATACATTTAAAAAAGTTAAAACTTTGAATTAAAAAAAAATCTCCAATACCCCTGTCAGTATAGGTCATGGTATACCAAGTAGCAGTAATTTGCATTCATCTGGAATTGTTATGACATTTTGCAGACTTTCTCCAATGAGTCCTGTGACGGACCCCCGTACTCAGGATGAGTATGTCCGCCGCTGTCTTCTTCCTTGCTGAGGAGATCTTGCAACCTGAAGATCCTTAGCTCCCAGTTTCCCCAGTCACTAGCCAAGGCTTGAGTGTAGGGTAAACAAACTCTGATTTATTGAGCAACTGCACAAACTTATATACAGCAAGTGATGAAATCAGAATATAATCCCATCACATCCACCCTCCCCTCCCAGACAATCGGTCTGCTCAACACCACAGGTGTCCACCTGCTAACGAACTCCAGACAGCCATAGCCGGAGCCTGGCCAGAATGTCATTGTTCTGAGCTCCCTCAGAGTACAATGGGAGATAACGGGGGATGGTGCTGATAGTCTTTCCATAACCAGGTCACACTGCATAATGCACTCAAACATAACCCAACACCAATACACATCCAACTTATAAACTGATCACCATGTCGTCACAAGTCCATTATAATATAAGCTACTAGGATGAGTGCTAAAATGTTTCCAACATTACGAAACAGTTTAAGTGATAACTCTTAAAATTTGGGATTTTTCATCAATCGTTGTCCCAGTGACAAAAAGAGGGAAGGAATCTCCCTAGCAGAGACCAGACACTAAAAAAAACTGACAGAGTTTATAACTCTTCCCCACTCTATCCAAACCACTGTTCTATTCGGCCACAGCACAATAAAATAAAAATAGAATATGCAGAGGAAGATAGAAAAATACAACTAATTACGTGCTCATAAAAAGAAATAACTGCTAGAAGGCGATATAGGGTAACTATGGAATGGTTTGTAGGCAAACTGATGAGTTATGTTGTTATAGACCACTTATATTCAAACTATGGCTCCTATAGATCAGCGATCTTAGGAGAAAATATAATCTTGTGTGGCTATGAAACGATGACCTCCTGCCGGGCTTAAAAGGAACTCAGATGTGGCAAGAGCCTCAGGGTAATTGAGAGAAAGTGTGATAGAATCTTGTCGGGGGGAGGTCGTGGATGTGTTTTGGCATCAGATGAGCTTTCGCTGATATGTTCAGGTCAATTAGCATTTTTATTAGTTTCCGTCAATGCATGATATGTGTGATTATAGGGGAAGTTTTATGGTGCAACAAAAAGCATTATGGCATAAAAACAGCTAGTTGCTAAACTTCATAATATTGAAGTAAAAAAAATAAATCTAACTAGTACCAGTTATTTTCAGTTTTGCAGTACAGTCTCTATGTTACTTCAAAATAGGCAACTCAGTCAAGATACATATTTGGTTAAAGTGACACGAATGCATTTTTAGGATTCAAATCCTGAGCTAAAAGTACCTTAACTATTAACAAAAATGTAGCTTATTTGTGTATCCCTCAGCTGTAGATCCTCAAATCATCTCTGAATTAATTGCTGACATTGTCCTTCCTTCTGGAAGGTGGCTACTTTTGTTCCCCATGGTCCCTGTGTGTGTTGTAAAGTAACCACTGCTCCAAACTCACTCCTGTGATAGACTACACTCTGAATACAAATTAGTAAACAGTATGTAAGATTGTAGTCCATCATAGTAGTTAGCTTGGTAGCCACCCTTCAGGAGGAAGGACAGTGGCAGCATGTATTCAGTGATGATTTGAGGATTTACAAGTGATGCACAAATAAAGTATATTTTTGTTGACAGTTAATGGTACTTTAATGCATTTTTAAGATTGAACTTTAAGCCAGCTGGTATTAAAACTCCCTATAAAGAAAGTATGGTACGTTGCTTTCCTTAAAAAAAAATGGCGGAGGCACTGCTGAATTTTAGCAGCTTATATAGTGCATTTAAAATATTTTGTACAAACTACTAGATGACCTCACCGTGTTAAAAATTGTGATGAGTTTTTACTATGTTTCTTACTATGTTGAGTGGCAAAATTGACCTATATTAACGTATAAAGGTGATTCATATTTTTGATGTTAAATACTGGTTCTGGACAAGGGACTTGGGCACTCCTAACACTGAGACTGGGAAAGCTAAAGACAGGAATATGATGGGTTGCCAACAAAAATATTTGATTTAGAAACTAAGTGGCAGGAGCCATAATGGACAGCATGGGTAAAACTAGAAATCAGGCTAAGGCAACTCTAGGCTGAAGCCCAGACACAGGAAAGCAAAGGATAGTCCTAGTACCTGACCTCAAGGAAAGGCTTCACAGTCCAAGTAAGTTCTCCAACCTATAGAAGCCACCATGCCCTGGAGTTCAATAGGGTCTATCTATACAGGATAATGGCTGTGTATTCCACTATTTTGGTGAAGGTTTGTTCTTTTTAACATCTTTTCTTTTAACATCTTTTGTTCTTTTAAAACAGTAATACATTCAAAGGTAACTTTTGAGGAAGTGGTATATATTTTTTAGTATACCGCTTCTTTATAAATAGCCTCATTGCATTATCCAGTACTTTAGGAATTAGTACTCCATGATTCCCTCCATTTATAAGGGCAACTAAGGGTATCAGGATCTGGAACATATAGGAACAGAAACACACAAGGGGTAGAAACTGGACAAGACAGTAAGAGAGAAAGATGACAGGAGGACTCCAAGCAGGCAACTAGTTGCAGCAGGGTATACGGTCAGAGGTCTGGGGACAGGGTAACACATCAACTGGGCTTACACTGAGCGGAGGACACAAGCAACATAACTATGTTAATGCAAAAGTCTAGACAAAAAAGTTGAAACATATGTTTAGGGTTTTACCTGCCAATAGATTTGTAATTTTGTTCAGCCATTCTTCTGATTTATTTACCTCTTTACACTGCACAGCTCCGAAGATCACTCTACTGCTTCCTGGATAACCCCCCCACCCCTACACCTACTAACTGGACAGAGGTGATGATGCTGATTTATGAGCAAGTTGTAAGGGGAGAAGTAACATGCAAAATAAATGTGCCAACTGCCTGGCCGGGCAGTGTGTCAGAGGTGTTGAAATTACAAGACTGGATGAAGAGATATACAAATCCTGAAACTGTTAATGCAATAAGCATATACAGATTTAAACTGTATATTTAACAGTTGGCCTAGAGTTCAGCTTTAGGCAGGAGAGAGCAAAGAAGCATGATCAAGAAACAGATCAAAGGCAGAAGCCCAAATACACAAGGATTAGACCATGTCCAAACAGATATAGAACACTAAGACCTAGAGCAATAAATTGGTGTCAGTGAAGCAGAGTTACAAAATATAAATGCAAACGAAAAAGTAAGATACAGAATACCAAAGCCAAAACAGAATACTTTGTGACTACAGAAACACAGTCTAGTAATGCAGATAAACACCCCACAATAAACTTACAAGCACTTTAGAAAGCTGGTCTGAGAAAACAGACATCAACTGACAGGTTGTAGGGAAAAGTCATGGGAAGAGAGAGTACCATAATACTAAAAGAAAGTACACAGAAAGATACCGAATTCAATCCATCGGCTTCTCTACAGTAAGGCAGGAAATGTGTGTTCAATGCATGAGAAGTGAAGTGCAGTAATCAGAAAAAAAGCAGAAAGCACATTCTGTATAGCTGTTCCCCAGATTAAATAAAATCTACCTAAAGACTGCTCACACAGCTACATATCCTAAATAAACATGCATAATATAACTGTCATGGATCAGGATCCCGAGATTACAGGGTTGAGGGAAACTGGATGATGTGCAAGGTATCGCCGTCCAGATGTCATCCTTGGAAATCAACCAGCACGTGCACACTATTATATCTAGCTTGCCACCACTCACAACTTGCAGGTTTGTGAGGAACCTTGCTCAGAAAAGATACAGAAAGTTATATAAACCAGAAATTACAAAGTGGGACACACAAAAGCAAACAGAATTAAAAATCAAAGGAATAAAACTATGGAACTAAGTAAGAGTAATTGTTACAGATGTTTTTCATCTTTGAGTGGACACCACTGATTCTTTATGCCAACCAGAACCAGTAGCACTATAAAAGACCAAAAATGAATACCTATCCCATATTTTACCATAAATCTAGCATGTTTGATATCAAACAACTGAGCTCTATGCCACCAGGCTTTTACAGAAGTTTTACACAGGATCTAAACCACCCCACATTTGGCCTTTCCTCAACACTGTATTGTTAGAATGTTATGCATACTCTGAATTAAAGTCACATTAAACTCAGGATTTTAACCTTAAAATACATTCAAATACCTTAACTATTAAATAAACTGTAGCTTATTTGTGCATTACATAGCTGTAGATCTCTGAATTGGTGCTGACACTGTCCTTCCTTCTGGAGGGTGGCTACTTTTGTTCCCCATGGTCCCTGTGTGTGTTGTAAAGTAGCCACCGCCCCACGCTCACTCCCGTGATGAACTACAATGTTAAAACAAATTAATAAACTATTTTAGTCCATAACGACAGTGAGCTTGGAGTGGTGACTACTTTACAACACACACAGGGACCATGGGGAACAAAAGTAGCCACCCTCCAGAAAGAAGGACAGTGTCAGCAATTAATTCAGAGATGATTTGAGGATCTACAGCTGAGGGATACACAAATAAGCTACATTTTTGTTAATAGTTAAGGTACTTTTAGCTCAGGATTTGAATCCTAAAAATGCATTCGTGTCACTTTAACCAAATATGTATCTTGACTGAGTTGCCTATTTTGAAGTAACATAGAGACTGTACTGCAAAACTGAAAATAACTGTTACTAGTTAGATGTATTTTGTTACTTCGATATTATGAAGTTAAGCAACTAGCTGTTTTTACTCTGAGTTTAGTTTCACTTTAACTTCTTCCTGGCTGGTTTATGATTGTGATTCAGACCTACTCACATCTGCATGCTCTAAATAAAAATGCATAATATAACCATTTTATTAATATTAATTGATATAATGTATTAAAAAGTATAATTGTATTTAATAATATAATTTTTGATAGTTATATAATGTTGTAAAAGAGAACAAGTGTACTTGTACCTATAACATACCTACTGGATACCCCATTTCCGCCAATATTTTGTAGGATTAGAGTTCAAAATTCCAGAGGTATAAAAAAATATTAAAGTTTTAGAAAAACCCTTTGCTTTAAATGAAACAACTATACAGAGCTCCCTAAAATATGCTGCCCAGCCTAAACTGAACAAGATTGAAATATCGCTGCCTTGTTTTTGGTGATGTATAGTCTAAAGCTTTTTGACAAACGTATGTGTTTCCATTTATAGACTAGCAGACAAGCGGAGTCCAAGCATCTTTTTATGTTGCACAGTCTAATTTATTTCCCTTTTGCAAATCATTTCTTTCAGAGCATGCACAAGGCAGCGCATGCTGAGCGGTTCCTTTGAAGGGCAGCCTGCCAAGGAGAGATCAATCCTTAGTGTGCAACATCATATACGACAAGAAAGAAGGTAACTTTAGCCAGAAAGTATTATATTTTCTTTCCCTTCCATCTGTCACAAATATTGTTTGCTCTGCTCTAATGTTCTACAATGAGAATAACAACATTTTCCTCTAAACATGCTGCTGTTAGATGTATTATTAAAAAATGTCATCTCAATCAAATGCAGCACCACTATCAATTTAAAGATCAAAGAAAAGAATGTTCTTTGTTCAAGTAGAGAACATAAGTCTTTACACCCCAAGCTGTCTGGACTGACATGCTTTCATTTGACTAAGCATCCCATTTTTTATTTCTTTTTTTCAAGCACCGTCTGCACCTACAGGTCAAAGATATTATCAAACTTTGTTTTCTCTTTTTTTTTTCTATTGCAATTGTGTTACAGATCACTAAGACATGGCTCAAACAGTCAAAGAATCAGCAGGGGGAAATCTTTGGAAACCCTAACTCAAGATGTAAGTTTAATCAGTCGCTGACCATTACAATGTTTGTTTATGCTAGGAAAATGTCAAAGGCTGATTTACTGAAGGAGTTACACAATAAATTAACTCCACTGATTCAATCATGTGAAAAGCACATTCCTGTTTATTATTTTATTTGCACATGATTGGAGAATTGAAGTGAATATTCACACAATTTATTATGGAAATGAATCTCATCTGCTTTAGTAAATCAGCCCGATAATATGTTTACCTTTATTTCAAGTTGTTAAGTAAATAGGTAAAAGGGAGCGCCAACTCTGATTGTTAGCATTCCATGGTTAAGGGCTCGTTCAAACTATCTGCGTTCAGGCTGCGCTGCACGTTTTTTCCAGCGCAGTCCAAACATAAGACAAGGCAATTTTCCTTGTCATAGTTGGTGACAGTTCACGCCACTGCGTGGTGTGCGCTTAAAATACTGTAGGGCATGTGGTATTTTTTTATACACACCGCAGTGAGACGTGCACATCCGCATTGCGGTGAGCCGCTAGAACCTAATGAAATGTCACTTGTGACATTTCAATAAAGTTCCAACAAAAAAAAGAAAGAGTGCAACGTGGCTAGATCGAGCGCACCAGCACTGTCCAGACACACACACCAGCAGCCATGCAGTTGTGAACAAGCCCTAAAAGCTAATTCCAGCCAGGAATAAAAGTTAATTGTTAGGTAGAATCAGATCATGATAATTAATACACCAAGTTTTGTATCTCCAATGCACCAAATTCAGTAGTTGCAGGCTATGATTAAGGACCTGCACATCCAAAACGTGCAAGTGTTTCTATCCTTTATTGTGAATGCAAAAAATCTTGTTAAAGTGGAAATTTACCCACATTTTTAAAATAACAACAAAGGCCCCTTAAGAAATGTTTAGTAATGGCAATCTACAAACACATACTTCTAGATAACTACCGGCTTTTTATTCTTTGCATACCTTATTTTTCAATTCTTCCTCATTCTTCTCACAGTGGTCATATTTTTACTTTACGAACTCTGGCACATGTGACTTGGGACTTGTGATTAGGACATGTAACTATGCACATAATCTTGGGGGAGGAAAATGCCTTTCCCTGAGATCTCATGAGATTACAGATGAGATTTCTCAGCAATGCTTTGCTGATGTAACCTTTCTGGGATGCAACACTTGGGCATGATTACATCACTTTGCCCAAGATAACCAGGAAGGTGAAAAACAGTAATTAGAAATAAAAGAAAAATACCGTATATGTATACTACATATAGAGTGCACTGAACAATAGATTTACAATTACCCTCTGCTAATATGAATGGGTTAAATGATCCGTAGTACATGATATGTAGCCCTGTACCCCCTTTTCCACTTACAGAGCTAGGTTATTGTTTTTCTTTTAAATAAATATTCATGTAATTTTATTGTTATCTATCTTCATTTTGTACATTTACCAGTAGCTGCCTCATTTCCCACCCTCGGCTTATACTCGAGTCAATACTTTTCCCCAGTTTTTTGTGGTAAAATTAGGTACCTCGGCTTATATTCGGGACGGCTTATACTCGAGTATATACGGTATGAATAACTAATGAATGTAAAATGATTTCATATCAGCAGGCAGAGCTGCACACTGATATGATTTTTAGTGAAAGGAGGTAAAGCTCCAATTTAACTAGGATCTTGCTGGGGTGGAATGCTGGTCTTTTTTCACTGCTTTATGCTCACTACATTGTAGCATAGTGATGGTGTACCTTTCTACCTTAGAATAGTTTCTGGCAAAATTGCACACTGTGAACTGTCATGCTTTCATTGTTTTTCATGATGAGAGCTGTCATGCTGTCAACAGGTCTACATGCAAACAAACAGGAAGCAAATTTAAGGATTTGTTGAGTTACTGAACCATGGTTGTTTCAAAATGACATCTTTAGCACAAAAAGAATTAATAAATAAAATACCCAAACAAATATACAGAGATGTCCATGAGAGATGTTGTTCAGTATTAAAGTGAATCTAGATCCAGAAATAAAAGTGCAGCATTTTGTAATTTACCATTCCTTAGATGAGGTGCCTGCATTTGTTTTTTTTTTTCAGATTTACTTCCCTTTAATGTTTCTTTGTAACCCTGTAAATAACACATTTCCTGTATCTAAAAAGTACGCTTACTCCTCCACTGTATTTATGGAGGGAACCACAATTCCCACCCAAGATGGACTTCAAACATGTCTGCCTTTGATGGGATTAGTAGATTACAAAAGAAAGAAGGTAACTTTATTTTTGCTGTCTGTTCAGCGCACAGGAAGTTACAAGAACACTGCAAAGAATTTTTTTTAATACTTGAAATGTTTTTAACCTGACAAATAAAAACTAATGCAGCCACCACATTTTAGGACTAGTAAGCTGTAAAATATAACATTGTTGTTCTTGGGTATAATTATACTTTAACTATATATTGAAGCACAGTCAGAAACAATGGACATGGGAAAGGAAAGTTTGAGTATGAATAGAATGTTAAAATGTATTATTCGGGGAAAACAGGTAAAACTGATTATTATTTTTTGACGAATTCTTATGGGATTTGTGTGCTTGCCTCTCTCTAACTGTAGCACTCTAACACCGTACGGTACAGAAATGCCCAGAGAGAAGACAGTGAAATCAAAATGATTCAGGAAAAGAAGGAGCAAGCAGAGATGAAAAGGTATTTGTGTTTTTCCTGTGTATATTTTTTAGGTATACATGTTCCCATAAAGGTTAACTTCAGGCTTTGTTTTAATAGAAAAGTACAAGAAGAGGAGCTACGAGAGAATCACCCGTACTTCGACAAGCCACTCTTTATTGTTGGTCGTGAGCACAGATTTAGGAACTTCTGCCGGGTCATTGTTCGAGCTCGATTTAATGCGTAAGTAAAGAGCCGAATCAATTAGGGCTATGTATTGACTTACACTGCATTCAGTCTATTTAGCAGTAGATTTTACGAAGCATATTAATTATAAATATATCTAATTTGGTACATAGATATGTTTAGCAAGAACTCCAACTTTTATTGTATTGATTGTAATTTGATTACAATCTAATTTTCACCACCGACAATGAATGAATACAGACGTTTGATGTTTTGAATGGAATAATCAAAATAAACTAATTCTGTTTCTGGTAAAAAATCAAAAATGTTATCTTTGGTAGATAAGATAAAGAGTTTTAAGTTTTTAGAATTACTAGAGAAGAAAAGGTGCACAATAATGTTCTCCATCAAAGAAATGCATTCTTTTAGAACATTTTGTGTTTTTTACCAACTGTGTTCTATTGGGGAGATTTCCCTTCACGTCCTGTGCAATAGCCACAACTGGAAGTGAGAGGAAATCCCTCCAAAGTGAGGGAAATTCCCAGTGGTCAGCAGGGTCACCAGAACCAGTGTCCCCATTTGAAAATTTCCCATCTATTCCTGTTTCTGGTGACTGACCAAAATGTGGGATTTTCTTTCACTTTCAGTGGCTTTTCAACAAATAAAAAGTAAGAAGCAATATTTAAATACAGTGTATAATATAGTTCAAGAAGCCTCTTTTTAAATCTACAGCTTTTCAGTAGATTTAGACAGAATCAAAATGCGTAGCATCTGTGTATGTCAACTTTTATGTCAGGCCAAGTTCCGTCTAATTATAATTTCCAAAGCATGAATATATATATATATTATATATATATATATATATATATATATATTTTATTTTTTTCATGTTCCATAGATATTACTACACAAATGTTTGCCCTTATAATCATGCATTGCACAAAACCTTTCTGTTAAAATACAACTACAGACTTGATACCGTGCTATGAGTGTTCGTTGACAAAATCAATGACATTTATTTCTAGTGAAGAATGTACATAAATGGAACACCCAGACTAAAATATGCTACTTGTTCTGTAACCTTTTCAGCTATGCAGAGATAATTCAGGAATAATAGCTTTTGGATAATGGCTGATTTATAGTCTCAACCTGACTTTTTAAAGGTCAAGAGGTGGTTATAAAGCAATAAAAAAAATGCTAGAAAGGTTTAATAACGTATGTGTATATTTGGTGAGGTTAGTAGAGATAAATTAATTTGCCCGGGTTTGGTCTGGTCAAATCTTTATATTATATTGTCAAAAAAGAGCATGGGGAGCTAGGCAATGCCATTGGGCCCATTAACCAATGCAAAAAAAAATGTTTTTTTAAATTCTGGTTAATGCAACTTTGAGAATACAATGGAAAAAACATAAAATACCCTAAGATATGTCTTTAAGCTGCATGTGGTGTAATGGAACAGTACAATCTTCACAGTGTATTCAGGCATCACATATTTTTGGATGTGTAAATCATTTTTTAACTTTTATTTAATTGTGACTTGAATTCAGCAGTAGCACCCCAATCTGATTCATTATGACTTGAAAAAAAAGGCTTTTTTTATCCAGTGGTAATTGGCCTGAATTAAATGGTGGAAGTAGCAGCCGACACAAACTTTTTTTTTTTTAAAGGTAAACTTTATTGGAAAGTTTACCTTTAAAAAAAAAAAAAAAAAAGCTAAAGGCCTCAAATATGTAGAAATTGACCAGACATAAAACAGTTTTATGTTATAGTTTGTGAGCTTCTTTTTTGTAGTTCCACACTGTATTGTCTTAAATTGCACAAAACACAGCCCCACATTCCTTGAACCCCCTCCCATCCCGTAGCCCCAATTGTTTCCCAAATATTTTCCCAACCTTGGAAGAAGTTTACTGGACCTAATGTCTGGTGTCGTTAGAACGCATGCTGGTATGAAGAATTGTACCAGGAATGATTTCGCAAACATTATATCAATTCCATATATTCTATGAGACAATAGCCACACCTTTTGTGCTGTTGTTGGACAGTGTAACTCTAGATGGCAGTGAGCATGAGCTGCCATAAAAGTTACAGTATAACTACTCCCAGGTCCAGCAGCTTTAGCCCCACTTTGTCCAAGCTATTAGTGCTACAACCCCTCCACTAGGGCAGTTATAAGTTTCTGCTGCCCTATGCAGATACCATGGAGCAGAGATAATGGCTTTTATCTCTGTAGCAGTAAGCACCTGGATAATGTTTCTAGTGCCCGATTAAAAAGCAGCGATGTGTGCCTTTCATATGTGGTAAAGAATTGTAAAGGTAACTCGATATTAATTTTCACTGTGGGGGACAGTGTGCTTATTATGAAGAAATTGAGTGAAATTGCCCTGAAAGCCCAGCTTGTGTAATACTAGATATAACCTATAATAGATGGCATTGTCAAAGACTTTCTTTGGCATCTAAAGTCAAAATCGTGAGATCCTTCATAGGGTGTGAATTGGCATATTCTAGAGCCATTATGAGTTTTTGGATATTTGGCACTGCCATACGGCCCTTGACAAAGCCAAATAACGTATGGAAGTCTATCACTTAAGAGCGTGGTCATCATTTTAGGTAAAATTTTACATCCTCATTCAATAATGATATGGGTCCATATGTCAGGAGTTTAATATATGCTTCAGTTTCCGTGGACAAGTAGTGGCCCCCTTTCTCCTGAACCGAAGGGGTCCTGGTGCCGAAGCTAGCCGAAGGATCGGCCGAAGCTACGGCCAGATCCTTCGGCAGCTTTGTGAATAGACCCCATAGTGTTGTGTACCATTAAGGTAGGAAAGGTAACATCTTAGCACCATTTAAAAAAACTCAGCAGAATAATTGCCAGGTACTGGGCCTTTATTATCTGCTAATCCCTTTATAATGTGGGCAATTTCCTCAGGTGTTATATAGGCGTTGGGCATTTTTAAATGATAGGAGCTTATGGTGGATAGATTTAGGCCCTCTAGGAAGGTATGACTCTTGTCAATATCAACCCATTTTGCTGAAAACAACACGTAATAATTTTCTAGAATTATTTTAAACCTTTGAGGGGATATAGAAGCATTACCCGAATCATCTACTAGCTTCATAATATTTGTTGGTTGATATGAACCTTTACGCAATTCAACATGATTTGTTATAGCCTGCGGTTATGGTTATATTGTGATTTTGTTGCACCCTGCATAGGGCATCACTAATCTGCTGAAAACCAGTTAGAACTTTTGTGTGCAGAAACCTATTAAATAAATCAACCCTTAATAAATTCCTTCCGAGAGCAACAGGTGTCATTACCTGTTCCAAAACATTTTACAGAACTAGCACATTCTAAATCTGTAAAAGAGTTTTAGGCTTCATGGCACTGGATAATGCACAGGAACTGAAAAGGCCTGGAAAAAGGATCCCCACATTTACAAAGCAGGAAGACTGGTGGATTAGTAAATTATTGGCTTTACACGCTTAAGGGCAGGTCCGATGCTGCAGCCGCCTAGGGTGCACTGCTGCTCCCTCCCCCCCCTTGTGCCTCAAATTGCAAAAGCCAATAGCAGCAATATTGCACCCGCCCACTGAGCAAAGGAGCCAAACTGAGAGACAACTTTCTCTCTCAGGTCCGGTCCTCTGCTCAGTGGGTGGGGTTTCAGTTATTGGCTATATAAAAATACAATAGTCAATTGCAGTCTGGCTATTGCTCCTGATTCCTGACATATACCTGTTGCCTAGCCAGCAGGAGAATGGTGCAGTGCAGGGGGGATTGGGGGTTGTGCCGCGGGAGGGGGGCTGGAGGGTGCAAGTAGCTTGACTTGCCTAGGGCGCAAAATAGTCTAGCACTGGCCCTGCTTAAGGATTAAACTAGGATTACAATTTGTTTTTGCACAGTTAGTTTTATTCGTATTCGTCATTTTTTTATTCGTATATAATCTTCTGTATATATTTAATTATTTATAAGAATTAGGCAATTGAGCTGGAGTTGTTGATCCAGTTTTAATTGGTTTCCTGTGTTGGTTAGTGCCTTGGATACCTGAGCTGACAATTCAACATTGTGTCTTTTTGGTTCAAAGCAGTGTTGTTGTTGGTGTTATTATTTACAGGGGTTATTTGGCTATGCTATCTGATGTCTTTTCTCTTCTTGAGTATACAGTATATTTAGATTGAAATTAGCACTTGTTTACTTCTAAGCTTGAGAACCACAGGGAAACCCTAAAACCACTGCTCATGAGTATTTACCTGTATTCATATACCTGTCTTCAATAAATCTGCATTTTGCAAGTGACTATCATGTGGCATCCCTTGGTAGCATCCTATACACACACACTGATGTGCATATATAATGACTTAAAGGCATTCTTTATTTCATGTAAACTGTAAATCAGCTTAATATTACATCATTAATATATTAGCAATTAACATTTTATTTCGAGTCTTCACATCAGTAGTCAAAGACATTAATTTCTTACTATATTACTTTTTTGCAACTTGCAAAAAATATTCACCTTGTGGCAAGCAGTCAAACCTTCATACTTAGCCATATTGCATAGGTATACCTCACTTTACAACGTTCAAGTCAGCTGCCAAAAATCCACTGCTTTGAGCGTCCTGATTTCAATTCAAATGCTGAAACATTTGTGGACAGATGTTTCCCTTTAATTGGCTTGATTACACAACCAGGTATTTAGGCACTAATATTCTTAGTAATCTCCCTAATGTCCAGTGGCGACTCTAGGAACAATATGTAGGGGGGGCACATAAGATACAACAGTCAAATCTGGGGGGGCACTAATAATTTTCATTGCATGTTGCAACCGCTGGGCACTGATCTGCAGTCGAGAGTGAGCTATTAGTAAAGATACCAGCAAGATGGTGGCTCCGATGGACCGGGACTGGGTCGGTGTCCCCCCCTGTACGTCGTGTTTTCTGTTTTCGTGTTTGTGTACACTCTTGTCCTGTGGGGTGTAATGTCTGTTTTCATTGCTCTCCCAGGGTTGCTGCGGAACTGTCCGTGACAATCGTGGGAGAGTATCCTCTGGAGAGTTATT